ACAAGCTGTCAGCACAGCTTCACCCCAGAATGGCTTAGGTAGTTTAGCCATACTCAACATGCAACGAACTTTCTCCACAATGGTTCGATTCATTCTTTCGGCTACACCATTGTGATGTGGAGTTCGTGGAACCGTTTTCTCATGTTTGATTCCATACGCAGCGCAATATGCTGAGAACTCCCGTGAAGTGTACTCTCCTCCATTGTCTGAACGTAGACACTTCAGCTTCTTCCCTGTTTCTCTTTCTACCATGGCATGAAATAATTTGAAGCAATCAAACACTTGATCCTTACTCTTCAAACAGTAAACCCATACCTTTCGTGATGCATCATCAATGAATGTCACGAAATATTTGCTTCCTCCAAGTGAGTCCTCTTCAATGGGTCCACATACATCAGAGTGGACAAGACTGAGTAACTCTGAATGTTTCTTCCCGGTAGAACTGAAGGAAACCCTGTGTTGTTTCCCGAATAGACAGTGCTCACATGGATCTAGGGCAACACCTTGGCCCATGGAAATGCTTTCCTTCTTAGCAAGAGTTGTCAATCCCTTCACGCTCAAGTGGCCTAGCCTTTGATGCCACAAGTTTGGTGATATCTTTTCTTCAACGGCATTAAGACTTGGATGACACAACTTTGCGTGAGTTTTATAAAGAGTACCACAAATATGGCCTCTTGCAACAACCAAGGAACTGTTGGATAACTTCCGCGTACCTTCTTTGAATCGGTTAAGATATCCTTGTTGATCCAGAGCTGTACCGGAGATAAGATTCAATCTAAGATCCGAAACGTGTCGAACATCTTTCAACACAAGTGCGCATCCTACATTGGTTGTTATGTGCACATCACCAATGCTAACAATCTTCGAGAAACTTGTGTTTCCCATCTTCACAGCTCCAAAGTCTCCGAACTTATAAGATGTGAATAAGTTCTGGTGTGGAATGGTGTGAAATGATGCGGCTGGATCAATCACCCACTCAACATCATGAGTACCTACGTGTAAACATTCTTGTTCACCCTGTGTAACAAGACACATGTTTGATGACAAACTAACCATGGTCTCACCATCTTCTTGGCTAGTATTTTGACTCGTCTGTGATTGCTCTCGGAGAAACTTTCTACAATCTCTTTTTCTATGCCCATATTTACTGCAGTAATTGCAATATCCTTCAAACCAAGTATTGTTTTCATAGGACATACCTCTCTCTTGTGATTTGCCGCGAACTTGAGAGTTTCCTCTGTTTTGACCTTGGCCTCTACCTCGACCTCGACTTCTTCCTCCAGTTCTGCCTCCCCCTCGTCTGCTGGTTTCTGACACGAAGGCATATGATTGTTCAGTCTCGGCTTCTTTTCTTCGGGATTCTTCATTCATAAGGGCATCTTTGACCATCTGCATAGTCACCTTGCCATTGGGAGCAGAATTGCTGAGAGTGACAACAAGAGTCTCCCAGCTGTCAGGTAGAGAGCTCAAGAGTAGTATCGCCTGCTCTTCATCTTTGAGAACCCATCCGGTGGTGCTCAACTGATTCACAAGATCCTGGAATTGATTGGTGTGTTCTGACACCAAAATACCTCCTCGTAACTTGTGGTTTACTAATCTCCTCATTAGTAACGTCTTATTTCGGGCGGTTTTTGCTTGATACATGCTACCAAGCTTCTCCCATAGTGTGTAAGCACTTAGTTTTTGCGCAACATGGTGGAACACACTATGATCTATCCACTGTCGAATTTGTGCGACAGTTTTTCGATTCATTTTTGTCCATTCTTCATCCGTCTTTTTATCCGGTTTCACGCCATTATTATCAAGAGGATCGGCTAAATCCCTCAAATTTAGGAAATCCTCCATTCGAGGCTTCCACATATTGTAATTTGTGGAAGTGAGCGCAATCATGGTGTCCGATGATGATTTATCCATAATAAAACGCTCAAAATATCTCGTACCTTATTTTCAGAGCCGAATTTGGACAAACGGAGCTCACCGTTGGATCCGGAATGGCCGAAAATGCTAGGAACCGGTCTGACCTCGTCCAAAACCGGTCTGGAAATGGGTGAACCGGCCTCCACAACTACGAACCGGTTTGGTCCGATTCAGGCAGCAACCCAGTGTGCTGACACCCAGGCTGGTGATGTGGACACAGCTGGTGCTGACGTGTTGCTGACGTGGCGCTGATGTGTCTTATCTTCTTCCTCTGGACTGCGTGATGACACAGGCAGTTTCCAAACGGCGTTTGGGCGGCGCGTACAGACTCTTCTGATGGCCAAAAAATTCCCCAAAATTACCAGATTTCTCATCTCGACGAGACGAATCTAACGGTATGATAAGACCGTGATTCCGATCAACTTGAAAAATCACGATTTTCTAACCTGTAGAAATTTATCTGAAAAATGAGAAAACTGTGTATGGAAACTCAACCTCGCTCTGATACCACTTGTTGGTAGACCTGTTAATGGGTCGGGTCTAAATAAAGGACCCGGACCCGACCCATTTACCCGGCGGGTCTAAAAATTTGGACCCAGACCCGGACCCAACGGGTCTCGGAATCGGGTCGGTAGACCCGCCAAGTATCATATGCACAACATTATATAACTTTTTTGACAAAATATTATATAATTTTTTAAAAATAGCAAAACATGTATATGAAATGTAAATCAAAGTACACAAATTTAAAAGAAAAATATATCTTCACTTTAAAAAAACAAGGTTTATCATAGAAAATTAGTACTTTTATCCAATAAAATGTCGGTTCTTGTAGATGCGTACAATTCTGCACTTTGTGTCTCTTTCTCTCCCATAGAAAACTCGTATATTAGACTAGAAATTAGGTCACAAAAAGTTCTTTTGGACTTAAAGCATATTATATACTATTATACACTTATACATTAGGTATGTATTAATTTGTTTCTTTTTAATCAAAGAATTAAAACTAATCACTTTATATATATTAGTTTGTATTTTTATTTGAAGTATTATAACTAATCTCTTTATGTATTAGTGTGTGTATATATATATTAATAAGAAATTTTAAACGGGTCCGGGTCCTTAACGGGTCGGAATCATATGTACCATACCCGACCCGTTTATTAAAAGTACTAACGGGTTCGGGTTCGGGTCCGGGTAAACGGAATAAAATAAGGACCCATACCCGTTAAAAACAACCGGGTCCGGGTCGGGTCCGGGTCTAGACCCGACCCATTGACAGGCCTACTTGTTGGGATTGAAAATTCTTCTATTCAATATCAAGAATAGAATTACAATAGGAGGAGCAAACTCTCACACTCAACTATTACAAAAAACCAATTCTCACCAATACACTTCTACTCTAAGTGTATTTCACTCTTCACACACTTTTCTCACTTTCTAAAAGTGATGATAATGAACAACATAGAACACTCTATTTATAGGCTAGTTTGGAGACATGAGGAAGTTGCATCTAAGCTTCCAAGTTATCTCCATATCTTCTCCCACACCTATTTGTTGGAGAGCTCTTTCCAAGAAGGTGCCTCCATGTTAAGGTGTCTCTTGTCAACTTCCAAGAAAGAAGGTGGAATATCTCTACAACCCGGCCCGTCTCCGTTCATACAGTAGTGCTCCTGCTTGAGAAAAGTTCTAGGTCCGCCATGGTGTACAAGTGGCTTAGCATCAGCGTTCTGTCCGTGATGCATGAAGCTTTTGTCGGTGTGTATTATGCAAGATTTCGTGTACTGGGATGGTCGGCTAATTGATTTGTATTGGGACCATATGATTGTTGTGTTTGTTAAAAATTGAGTTTATTGTTATATTTATAGGAGGAAACTGAAATTGAAAGTGCGAGTTGATTCCCATTTTCCTACACAATATTATGTTTGCTCCGATTTTAAGGATGCTGGAACCCTTTCCAATCGTGCCTTTCTATCAAACTGTTGGAAGAACTTAGGAAGACGCCATGGGGCCATCTCCAAGATGCACCTCACATTCACTTTTTTGGATAGATTGTTCATTTGCTCTTGTTACGACTTGTGTGCGAACAACCACATAATGAGCTATGGGTTGCTATTAGAGGGAAGGGGATGTGTTTAAGTTCACATTTTCTGATGGAAACCTTGTTCTTTGGTGGGTGTGGAGAAATTACCTATAAGCAATTGATGGAATGTACAAGAAATTAGACCGAAAAAAAATTAATCCCTTACAGATGGTAAAATTGCTTTCTATATTTTTTGTTAACTGTGTATCATGGGAGTATGTACTGCTTTCTAAAGATAAAACCGCTAAGATCTGGACCATATATCATGGGAGGATGGTTTTGAAAAAGTTCATATTATGGTTGGTAGTTATTTCAGGCTTATAGTTATTTTCGGTCCTATCATTTATTTACATTTATGTGGAATATTTTCTTTCCTTATAATTGATAGGCAAATGAGTATATTAGTACTCCTTCGCAAATTATACCGTGGGATCGGCCCACCATGAGCATGGTGTGCCGATCCCAAAACGGTACAGTTTTATGCTTCATATTAAAAAAACATCAATTGCCGGATCCCCTTCGTCTCCTTCGTTGTTTCAGCTCACCATAGAACTCCGCCGCACTCCAGATGTTGGACCAGAAGTCATTCCAAGAGTTCTTTGCATAAAAAAGAATTGTGTTTACATACCTGCTTCTCAAATACGAATTGTGCATCGCATCAAATAGACCCAAACAAAAGATTATCATTCAATCGCCCCATTCAACATATCCCTTTTTTAATTCTGAAATTGCAGGTGCCATATTTTGGATCTGGAGTATTGCGTATATGTGGGTAAATATAAATATATAATGACTTCAAGCTAAATGTTTGTTTTAGTATACATGTATAATAGGAATAATGTTTTGAATATGAAAGTTCAGATTTTAATGAAGAAAACTCACCTTCGTTACATGTTGAAGACGACTGCTATGAATTATTTTAGACCTCCTCTAACTTACATTTTACTCACACTCAAGTTACACCAACGTTTGCCTAAAGTTACATATCTATTAGCGTGAGTTACAACTTACATGTCAACTTTCTTCATCAAGTTACATCTCACTTACATGTAATTTACATTTTCCATAATGCGAGTTACACCACAATATAATGTGAGTTACACAACCCAATAAGCCCTGCTATTCAAAAAAAATTATTTTGATAAAAAACATTTTTATAGATTTGATATTAAAAACAAAACATATACAATATTTATGTAAAATAATTGGGCAAATAGTTTTCTTCTTTTCATTATTATATTGAAATCAATGTTTTATTTCTTATACTATGTATTTGACAAGTTACATTTCGACTGGACTTGAGTTGCATCGATCAATAACATGAGTTACATTATTTTACACGCGAGTTACATCATTCATGTTTTTGGGACAAAAAATAGTCACTGTTCACGCGTTACTGTTCACGCGATTTTTTTTAAATATGCAAAACTACATCGTTTTGGGATGTGGAGTACGGTGCTCACCGTGGGATGATCCCACGGTATAGGAACTCGTACTCCTTGGCAGCACTCAGTTGTAGGACATGATTTACATTGAATAATAAAAGAATATCTTTCTCCTACTTTACACTTATAGCATGGTATCAGAGCCTCCCTATTAAGGGACGGCAGCAACTTCGCCATGGCCGGCGGAGAAGAGACGGCAGCAGTTTCGTCTTCAACAACTATTGATCACAACTCGCCGTATTATCTGGGACCGCAAGACCGGCCGGGAGACTTCATTACTCCGATGCGGTTGAACGGCGACAACTATGACAAATGGTCAAACTCAATTCGTTTGGCCCTTCGTGCGAGAGGCAAGTACTGTTTCATTGATGGCACTTTGTTGAAGCCAGCACCTCCCTGCACAGAAGATGACTGGATGACACTCCAGTCAATGATAGTTTCATGGCTTCTCAATACAATTACGGCTGACTTGAAACACGCCTTGACAAATTACGAGAATGCTCATCAATTATGGACAGACATTAAGGAGCGGTTTTCCATGGTTGACGGCCCCTAAATTCATCAGGTTAAAACAGAATTAGCCCGATGTGAGTAGCCAAAAGGGATGAATGTGGGAACTTATTAAGGAAAATTAAAAACATTGTGGGACGATTTGAATAAGCTCGAACCCTTACCTGTCTGCAAGTGCGGTGGATGTTCCTGTGACTTGAACACCCAATTGGAGAAGAGAAGGGAATCTGAACGGTTCCATCAATTTCTCATGGGTCTCTCACTGGAGCTGTTTGCGTCAATTCGTTCTCAATTGTTAACACAGACGCCGTTGTTGTCGCTGAACAGGGCCTATCAACAGGTCTGCCAAAAGGAAAGGGTCAGAGGAATGGGCCAGGCTCGTGATGACAGAGAGGTGCTGGGCTTTGCGATTAACGCCGATGGACGAAGTAAGGCTGGACCGGGGAAGACGGATAGATCCGGCGTGGTTTGTGGTCATTGCAATCTCCCAGGCCATGAAATATCACGATGCTTCGAGATTGTGGGGTACCCGGAATGGTGGGGGGACCGACCCATGTATGCCTCCAAAGGCGGCGGACGCGGCCGTGGTTCAGTCACGTGCGACGGAGGGACTGCAGGTCGCGGTCGCGGTGCTGTTCGGGCTCACGCTGCGACAATCGAAGGGACCTCTTCTGGCCGATCTGATTTCTGCGAGGAAAAGGGGGAGGATCGAGTAATTCCCGGTTTTACCCCAGACAAATGGAAGGCATTTTTAGCTACTTTCGGTAAAACTAATACACACAGTGACCGAGTATGTGGTACATTTGATAATTTGTCCTCCGGGGCTACCAATCACGTCACGGGGAATGTTTCTCAATTATATGATATCACTGAAATTGATCCATGTTCGGTAGGACTCCCGGATGGTCAAAAAGTCAATGCTACAAAACAGGGATCAATACGTTTAACTGATATGATATGCTTGCATAACGTGTTGTTTGTTCCTAAATTGAGTTGTAGCCTTATTTCTGTCTCACAATTGACAAAAGATCTTGATTGCTTTGTTCAATTCACATTTAATGTTTGCGCTATACAGGACCGACGCTCGAGGAGGTTGATTGGAGCGGGTGAAAGGCGGAATGGACTCTACTACTTTCGAGATACTGCTGGAGCGCAAATTTTTGGAGCGCACAAAGAAGAGGGACACATGGATGTTTGGCATTGTAGGTTGGGACATCCGTCAGAAACAATAATGAAATGGCTACCTGTGTGAGTAGTTCTAAAAATATTAGTCAACCATGTGATGTTTGTTTTTGAGCTAAACATACCAGGGAGTCGTTTCCTGTTAGTAACTGCAAATCTACACATATTTTTGAGTTAGTACATTGTGACTTGTGGGTCCATACAATACTCCAGCATCTTGTGGTGCAAGACATTTTTTAACTATTGTTGATGATTTTTCCCGTGCTGTTTGGGTTTACTTACTGGTTGATAAAACTGAGGTGTTTACTGTAACACCGTCCCCAAATATATTTACTTTTGTGTAAATAATGTATTGAACCTTATTAAAGGATTAATGAATTTACGAAGTTGTAAATTTTTTATTATTTTTTTTTTCGCGTGAATAGTAAATTGCACGTGGGACCCACACCGGGAGCGGGGCCGCCCGACACTCCCGAGACCACATATTTTATTCATCTTGGTCAAGATAATATTTATATAGTGGTGGATATTTTATTTGGGTCGTGGAAAGGCGCAGGGTTGACCGATTGGGAAAAAGAGGCCCAATTACCGGTACCGACAATTTAACAGATAACAGCCCGAAAATGAATTTCGGAGGCTTATAAATTAAAGTTGGGGAATGTATATTCATTATACATGTCATAATGAGTAAGAGCACATAATATACTTTATTTGACCCGATAAAATAAAATATATTTAAAACAGTCCGAAAAATACAACTTTCGGGGCCGATTGTACACATCGGGACTTAATGGGATGACCTCCCACAAGGGTGGGGGCCACCCCACGTTTTTGTGTGCTCAAAATAAACAAGGAGGTGGCTGAGTTGACAAAGGAAGGAGTGGAGGAGGTGCTTTTGGCATCTAAGGTACATGGAGGGCCCCCCTCCCTCACTCATTTGTCAATTAAGACAAAAGTGAGACATCCCCTCTCCCTCCAACCATTGAGCTCGACCAAACCATCCAAGGGAGAGAGAAGGAGCTTCAAAATCACCTCCATTGCTGCAAATTTGAGCTCAAGCTTTAGTGCTCAAAGGAAGAAGATTAAAGAGGGAAAAAGTTGGGAAAAGTGTGAACAATTAAGGTAATGACCTTATATTAACTTTTCCTTTATTTTTCTTCCACCATATGAAGTATATATCATATGAAGAACCTTTAGTATGGTTCAATATGTTATAAGTATGGATTTATAGGGTGGAAGATGGTTCTAAGTCCAAGAACGGACTTAGAAGCCAAAACGACCGGTTCACCGGAAAATAACCTTTTTGAGGTTATTTGTATTAATATGGGTTTTATGATTATAAAACCTTGTTAGGCACTTGTAAAGGGTATTTCAAGTGATTTCACAAAGTTGGAAAAAGTCGCCGGAGTTGTCGCCGGAGTTGACCAAGTCGCCGGAGTTTCACCGGAGTTCAACCAAGAAGGGTAGAACTTCTTAACGCTAGTTCAAGGTGAGTGGACGGCTCAATATCTTATAACTTTTGGGTTAATTATGAGATTACCAAAATAAATGTTATATGTGTTCGAAATGATGTTTAAAAGATATTTAAACATGTGATTAGCCAACATTATCAAGTTGTATGAAAAGAATTAATTGATTATGCATGAAATATGATATGAGAAATTATATAAAATGCACATTAGCTTGAAGTGTAAAAGAAGCTCAAATGAGTATTATTGACTTAATTATATGATGATTAAGTTGATATGTACAAGGCTTGAATTGGCGGTCAACGACAACGTTGACCGATGGATGATGGATTAATTAATATCGGTTGATGTTAGTTAATTATACATTTATATAAATGCATGGCTTTGCATGGATTGTGATACATAAGATTTATGTATTGGATTAGTTATGAGTAACTAAGGATGATATAGACTCTATCTAGGTTGATAGGAGGTTGATCCTAGGAAAACTTGGTGGAGGACCCTAGTACTTAAAAAGTACTTAACACTCAAACTTGGTGGAGGACCCTAGGACTTAAAGTCCTTAACACTCAAACTTGGTGGAGGACCCTAGGACTTAAAGTCCTTAACACTCAAACTTGGTGGAGGACCCTAGGACTTAAAGTCCTTAACACTCAAACTCGGTGGAGGACCCTAGTACTTAAAAAGTACTTAACACTCAAAAACTTGGTGGAGGACCCTAGGACTTAAAGTCCTTAACACTCAAACTTGGTGGAGGACCCTAGTACTTAAAGTACTTAACACTCAAAACTCGGTGGAGGACCCTAGGACTTATGAGGCCTTAACACTCACAAACCGGTGGAGTATCCGAGGATTTTGATCCTAAAACTCATAAATTATGATATACAAATAGGGACAAGGAGGAGTCCTATACACTCATAGGTATATGGGTGGGTTGGGGTTTTTAGTCAAGAATATTGACTAATACTATTTTTCCCAAATAAAATGGTGATCTACGGATCGGATATTTTCCAAATATATATATACTAATAAGTATTTCATAACTTGGGGGAAAGACTATCTATTTAAGTATCACCCTATGTTTGGGTCTTATACTTGAAACGCTAGTTATTCTATATTTAGCCTGCTACTCGCTCGGTACTTGTACTGACCCCTTCGGGGGGGGCCCACCATTTTCAGGTTGAAGCTAGGGCTTGCTACTTGCACCTTCTCACGGGTGATATCAAATCAGGAAGACGTGGTTCGTGCTTCCTTATTTTCTTTCAAACTACCGAACACTTGCTCATGGATATTTGTTCTACTATAAACTATTTTTGGGGCTTGCATGCCCATGTTGTTGGCCGGTTGTGGCTTATGACTTACCGTTGAATATTTCCGCTATTCATTGGTTTAAATGTGATGTTGTTATGTATGTTTACTACTGAGTATGGATGGATTGTTTTCTCGAACGCCTTGTGTAATTAAGTGGGGTTGACTCGCGGGTGACGTCACTTAATTATACGGCGGTTGTACACGCGCTTGGATTGCGGTTTGGGGCGTGACAATTAAGTGGTATCAGAGCCATCTCAGTTCTAAACTATATAATCAACCTCTCACAAAAGATTTTACAAAAGAGTTTTTACCGAAAACCATGAGCATTGTATTTTGACGTTTATAGGACTATTGGTGCCTAAGTTGCAAGGCCTCTAATTGTTAAGATGGTACCCTTAACAATTGGTATGGTAGTGACTTGGGCCAATACGTGTCTGTAACGTTCTTCCGTCAATTGACATTTATAGGAGTCTGATGACTCATCCATATTTCTTTCAGAAACAATTGTGAAACGATTGTGCTTATAGTCACGGGGAATGAGAAATGGTGATTTTCTAAATGAACATGGGCCCACGGGCGGACTACTTGACTTTTATTGAAGTAAGTATATTTTTAAAACGGGGTAACTTAGGGTTACCACTATATTGTATTACCACCCTATTTGAGGGTCTTGTGATTGAAATACTTGTTGTATATCTATTAGATGCCATCCACACCAGCACTTTATAGCCCTATAGAGTGCTGACCCCTTCGGGGGCGTCCCACTACCATTTTTCAGGTTGAGGCTCGAGCTTGCTACCTGTGCCCGTTGCTCGGGTGATCCTTTGGAGAGAAGACGTGGTTCGTGCTTTCTCCATTCTGTTTTGAACATTAATAAACATGCTCATGGATATTTTACTTTAGAGCCTGCGTGCTCATGAATAGCCCTGTGTGGCCCTTTTGTTTTAAACAATGTTTTCCGCTGCGTTATGAATTACTTATTATGTTTGTTTATGGATGTTATATGTGTGAATGATATTCAAGACGCCTTGTATAATATGAATGTGTTGGACTGCGGTTGACTATTCGTATTGTACGGCGGGTTGTTGACGTGTCCGGGGAGGTCCGGGGCGTGACAATTAAGTTGGTATCAGAGCCTTAGTCCATAAACTTCATAATGAAGTCTCGAAATTCTCTTTTGAAAATATTTTGAAAACCATGAGCATAGAAGTTTTGTACTTGGAGAGCTTTTGGTACTTGGGTTGCAAGGTCTCTAATTGTTAAGATGGTACCCTTAGCAATTGGTATGGCGGTGACTCGAGCCAAAATGTGTCTTAAGTACCTATCCGTCAATCGACATTGATACGAGTCTAACGACTCCTTCCAAATTTCTTTCAGAAATGGACCGTGGTGGCAGGGTTACTAGGAGAAACCCGACGGGCCGTGTACCAGTGGAGACTGGACAGGGCAGTCGAAGGACCTCTAGGGCATCTAGAGGAGCTGGCCGTGGAGGCCGATCACAGACCGTGAGTGACGGTCATGTTGACACAGAAAGTGAAACCTACTGGTCCTATGAGGACTCGACTTACCAACCGGAGACCGAGCCGGTTGAGACCCCTTACGAAGGGGATGACGATGATATAAGTGATGAAGAAGGGGAGAATGACTCCCTAGCCAGAATTGAGGCGCTGCTCCAGCAATACCAGCGGGAGCGCGAGGGAAGGAGGGAACGCCGAAGGCGCCGAGGAGGGCGAACTTCGGGTGGGGCTTCAAGAGGAAGAAGCCATGGCGACTCTAGGGCCCACATTGAACCACATGGGGGCCGGGGTGATGGAGGTCCGATCATAAGGATCTCCAAATACCTCAAGGAGGCACGAGACTTGGGGTGCAAACCCTTCAACGGAGCGGGTGACATCTCGGTCGCCGCGGAATGGATCAAGAGGCTGAACGAAGCAGCCCTTGATATGCAACTCACCCCCGAGTTTAAGCTAAGGGTGGCGGTGAGGTTGCTCGAAGGGATGGCATCCACATGGTGGGACGGAGCCAAGGGAAAGTATGGCAACACGGTGACTTGGGAGAATTTCCGACAGGAGTTCTTTGCCCAATATTATTCTGATTTTGAGGTGAACGCCAAGAGGAGAGAGTATACCCTCCTGACCCAAGGGGGCAAAATGACAGTGAGGCAACTTGAACACAAATTCAGGGAGCTCGCGGAGTTCATACCGGAGTATGTGTGTGACGAGAACCGGATGGTAAATCACTTCTGGGATGCCTTAGACCTGGAGGTGCGTGAGAGGGCAACACAGTTGCCTAATATGACCTTTAGCCAAGTGGTCGAGCAAGGGTTGAAAGGAGAGAAAGAATGGGAAGAGAGAAAGTTGAAAAACGCCGAAGAGGCGAAGAAGAGAAGGTGGGAGAACCATGGACCTCAAGGTCCTAGCAAAAAGGGGAACCATGAGGGAGGGGGATCTTTTCGGACACCCCCACTGCCATCTAGGGGAAGTCAAGGCCCGAACGGGCAAGGATCACGGACCTCAGGGGTAGCTCGATGCAATAATTGCAAAAGGAGCCACTTTGGCAAATGTCGTGACCCTCCTAGATGCTTCCAATGCGGGAACACCGGGCACTTAAAGATGAACTGCCCACAGTTGGGTGGGGCAAGGTCATCGGGACCAAATAGTGGGGCTACGGAAACAAGAAACCAAGCCGGGGGTTCCCTATCATCTAGGGAACATGGGGGAGCAAGCGCGAGCAACGCACCATCGGTGAATCAAGGAAGGACTCAAGCAAGAGTCTATGCAATGATGGAGGCAGATGCCCGAGCTAACCCGGATTCGGTTGCAGGTACGACCGCTTAACTTCCCGTGATTTACCCATTCCCCATCCATAAATTGAAGTTATAAATCCTAGGATCCAAGTGGGATCAGGCGTAGGGTCGAATTCGGGAAAAGAGGGCAAAACCATGCTACCACCCGACCGGGTATGGCGATAAACCCGACCGGGTAGAGTGGGAAAATACCCACTGGAACCCATACCCGACCGGGTATGGTGATAAACCCGACCGGGTAAAGTGGGAAAATACCCACTGGAACCCATACCCGACCGGGTATGGTGATAAACCCGACCGGGTAAAGTGGGAAAATACCCACTGGAACCCATACCCGACCGGGTATGGTGATAAACCCGACCGGGTAGAGTGGGAAAATACCCACTGGAACCCATACCCGACCGGGTATGGTTATGTTACCCGACCGGGTACACCTCGATGTGTTCGTCAAATGAAAAAGTTGTCTTCATGAAAGTTGTAGATCTTTTCATTATCTAAATGATGGAATTTGAATCGAATCATTTGGTTAAGTATGTGAGGAGATATGATCAAAACGGTGAGACAGTGCCGATTTATATCTCAACTACGAACGTCATCCATAATTGAGCAATATGTCCACTCTAAGGACATAATTTCGAACCATGTTCTTCATAAGAATGGTTGGTATATTAGGGGGGCATCTTACATGGTTTATAAATGTTAGAACGATAAAGATTAATGGAAAGGATGCAAGGATCCTTATCGATACCTGCGCGCAACGTTCGTTCGTGAGTGGACGTTCGCCGAGGACTTAGAGTTACAATCAATACCAATGACACAAACTTTAGTGGTATCAACATCACTAGGGGATGACGTTGAAAGAACTAGTTACTATCCACCTTGTGAGGTGGGAATTGATGGCCAAACCCTGACGTGTGATTTCGTACCGCTGAGTATGATGGGATTCGATGCAATACTAGGAATGGATTGGCTAGAAAAGCATCATGCTAGGGTAAATTGCTACACAAAGGCTGTAGAACTCGAAGGCAATGATGGAAACAACCTACGCTTCGAGGGGAATTGAGGCAAATCAAACAGTTGTATCATATCCGCCGTGGGAGCAAGGAGTATGATGTGAAAGGGATGTCACGCGTGTCTGGTATACATGGTTGACAAAACCAAAGAGGAAATGAACATCGCTGATGTGAGGGTAGTTGTAAGTACCCGGATGTTTTCCCTAAAGACCTGTTGGGGCTTCCACCTGATAGGGAGATTGAATTCGTGATCGAGGTCGAGCCCGGTACCGAACCAATCTCTATACCGCCATACCGAAGGGCACCTGCTGATTTTAATGAATTGAAGAGCCAATTGCACGAGCTATTGGATAATGGGTCCATTAGACCGAACTATTCACCGCGGGAAGCACCAGTCCCTTTATGAAAAAGAAAGGTGATACCCTACGAACTCAAGTTACATTAGGAGTAGGCCTTAAGGGTTACTCAAAATGGATGGAACCTAGACTAAGGAGTTGTTCAGGGATTAGATGACGTGACTACGAGCCGAGCTCTAGCACGTGGTAGTATGACTATGAGCCGAGCTCTAGCACGTGGTAGTATGACTATGAGCCGAGCTCTAGCAAAATGTAGTGTGACTATGAGCCGAGCTCTAGCACAAATTAGTATGACTATGAGCCGAGCTCTAGCATGAAGGAACATGAGTTAGCTATAAAATAATAACATCCTAGATGGAGGATCTTGGAAATTGAAACTTTGATTAATCTAATTACTACAGAAAATTCGTGGAGAAGTTTCCAGTTTTGACATCGCCATTGACGAAGCTCACTCGTAAGGGTCCGAGAACGCATGCTAGCGTGACCCGTGGAGAATTTCCGTGAGAGAGACGAGGGTCTCTTGTCACTCCGTGGCCGAGTGGGTGTACCATCGAATGATGAGCTTCGAGAATCAATACTGGAGGAGGCTCATTCACCGACATACACTCCTGAATTAGAGAAGATACATAATGTGTTCCATGTATCCATGCTTAAGAAGTATGTGCATGATCCCTCTCACGCATTGGAGAAGCCGCCTGTGGAGGTACGTGAGGGTTTGAACTACGCTGTGCAACCGATCAAGGTCACCGATAGAAAGGTGAAGAAACTGAGGAGTAAAGAAGTTCCAATGGTTAAGGTCCTTTGGAAGAGTGATCGGGTTGAAGAAGAGACATGGGAAACAGAGCCTTTGATGAGGAAGCAGTATGCTTTCCTATTCGAGTAGAGCTGTGAATTTCGGGGACGAAATTCCTGTTAAGGGGGGGTGAACTTGTGACACCGCACCCGAACGTCCTTGAAAATTCAAATTTAAAAAAAAAAAAAAAAATCAAAGTTTATGTATTGAATTTCTGATTCCCAAACAATTGTGAAACGATTGTGGTTTTAAGTAATTAACGATTGATTATTATACTGTTCGAACTCGTATATTAGTATCGGGCCTTTTTAATAAATAAAAGAGCCTGGCATTATCTAAATAGTGATACATAACGTTTCGAGACAAGTTGAGGAGGGGCGGGCGGCCCAGATATTATTTTGGGCTCAACCCGCTGAAATAGCAAGTATTCGAGAATGGCGTCGTAGGCCCACTCGGGGGCGACCCACACGGCTTGTAGCCCAATAATATGGATGACAAATGTCAAAATAAGTGATAGGATGATTTGAGATGAATACAAATGCCTATGATACCATCTTTGACATTATTGAGCTAAATAATGGGAGTAAGATTTTCTTCTATGATACCCACCAAGTAAATTATTGAGATGAACCTACACATATTAGGAGATCAATAATGTGATGAAGGAAGTTGACTTGTTCTAAATAAATTAGGATGAGTACAAAAAGGCATCTTTGACAAAAGATAAAACAATAGGACCCATCTTCCCATTTTTGGAAGTATTGGTAGATATTTTGGACTCCAAGTTGAATGGGATCAATTGTGAACCATTCCACATGGACTTAGTACCTGCAAAACAAATGAAAAGAGGTGAGAAGACTATATGGGGCGGGCTCTTGGCTCACATGCACAAAAAATTCCAAGAGAAAACAAAAGAGGGAGGTCCACCCCATATTTGATTGCAAACCAAATACCTCCCATGTTCTTTTGTGAGCCACATACTCTTTTAGCATGTTTAGGGTCTCCTAATACACTCCCCCTACACCCCATTCGAACCCCCAAAGAGATAAGAGAGCAAGGGAGTCCACACAACCCAAGAGAGAAAGAAGGAGGAGAGCAGTCCGCAGGTTCGTTCTTCAGTGCGTAGCTCTGACTGTTTGAGCCATAACTTGAGATTTACTCATCCAAATAAGGCGTGCGAGATACCAACAGAAAGCTCTCAAGACGAGGAATCCGTGAAGGTCTGGTTTGCATCAATCGGAGTAGTGGAAGACTTCCAAATCGACCGAGCAAAACACGACCTCGCAGAATACGTTTTTGTATTCAAAGTAAGTTTGAATCCAAAACTTTCCTCTCTATTGTCTAAACCATATAAGTGATTGAAGAACTATTATACACTGATTGAAGTGTATAAAATGTTATTATAAAGTGACTTTAATTGTTGTAAAAGTTAGATACTAATCTAGACAAAACCTTGAAAGGTTAGGGAACGATTTCGTCGGGAAACACCCGTTCTAGGGACTGTTTTTGTGCCTTCAGTTAGGAGTTGAACTAGCACTTTGAAGAGGCTGTTTAACACTCAATTCCAAGCAAGGAATCAGTCCTCAATCTTCCTTGGCCGAAGCTTGGGTCATTGGATCGAGAAGGAAAGTTTTAAAGCTCATTTGAGGTGAGGATCGACATCTAATTGCTTACAACTTGTAGGTTAAGCATGAGATTACCTAAATGCCTAAATCATAATTTTCATGGATTATTATGATTAAATATTGATATAGTTCCCAAAGAATGAAATTGGAAATGATTTGAGGATGTATGAATAATATGAGATTAAATGAGTTATAAATGAACTATTTTGTGAAATGGGGATTTTACTCATGTATGAATTATGTGGATACATAAATGAATATTTATGTATTGAAATTGAGTACTTAAGATGCGGCTACACACTTATAAATATGTGGAGAATTACAAAATGAGGATATTTGTATGATGACAATAATCTTAATAGTATTGAAATACTAGTTAGTGATTATTTGAAGTTGTTGATAGAATTGATCCTAAGTATTGGATTGTATGAAATGCACTTGAATGTACTTCAAGTGTATAAAATGACTTAGTATGAAGCTAAGGGTAAGTTATGGGCAGTCATTAAGAATGACCAAGGTAGATACGAAGTATTTGAGATGCCAATTCTAGGCATAGGTTTGCTTAGGAATTGGACTATAATGAGGAATTAGAGCCGGACTCTATGATTTGCATGGAAATGTAGTTGGTCCGAGACCTTGCCATGTAAATTGTGATTTGCACAGAAATGTAGTTGGTCCGAGACCTTGCTATGCAAATGTGATAGGATGTAAATTGTGATTTGCATAGAAATGTAGTTGGTCCGAGACCTTGCTATGCAAATGTGATAGGATGTAAATTGTGATTTGCATAGAAACGTAGTTGGTCCGAGACCTTGCTATGCAAATGTGATAGGATGAAATTGTGATTTGCATGGAAATGTAGTTGGTCCGAGACCTTGCCATGTAGATTGTGATTTGCATAGAAATGTAGTTGGTCCGAGACCTTGCTATGCAAATGTGATAGGATGTACTTGACATAAAGGATTGCATAGAAATGTAGTTGGGCCGAGCCCTTGCTATGCAATGGTAACGTGATGAACTTATGAATTGTCGTGGCTTATAGTCACGGGGAATGAGAAATGGTGATTTTCTAAATGAACATGGGCCCACGGGCGGACTACTTGACTTTTATTGAAGTAAGTATATTTTTAAAACGGGGTAACTTAGGGTTACCACTATATTGTATTACCACCCTATTTGAGGGTCTTGTGATTGAAATACTTGTTGTATATCTATTAGATGCCATCCACACCAGCACTTTATAGCCCTATAGAGTGCTGACCCCTTCGGGGGCGTCCCACTACCATTTTTCAGGTTGAGGCTCGAGCTTGCTACCTGTGCCCGTTGCTCGGGTGATCCTTTGGAGAGAAGACGTGGTTCGTGCTTTCTCCATTCTGTTTTGAACATTAATAAACATGCTCATGGATATTTTACTTTAGAGCCTGCGTGCTCATGAATAGCCCTGTGTGGCCCTTTTGTTTTAAACAATGTTTTCCGCTGCGTTATGAATTACTTATTATGTTTGTTTATGGATGTTATATGTGTGAATGATATTCAAGACGCCTTGTATAATATGAATGTGTTGGACTGCGGTTGACTATTCGTATTGTACGGCGGGTTGTTGACGTGTCCGGGGAGGTCCGGGGCGTGACACTATTGGTGCCTAAGTTGCAAGGCCTCTAATTGTTAAGATGGTACCCTTAACAATTGGTATGGTAGTGACTTGGGCCAATACGTGTCTGTAACGTTCTTCCGTCAATTGACATTTATAGGAGTCTGATGACTCATCCATATTTCTTTCAGAAATGGAGGGCAGGCGAATGGCAACCAGGAACAATCCGAGAGGGCGGGCGCCGGTAGCGTCCCAAAGGGGAAGCCGGGCTGCATCTCGGGGTTCAAGAGGAGGCCGTGGAGGCCGTGGAAGCCGTGGAGGTCATCAAGCTCAAACTGTGAGTGATGGCCATGTAAGCTCGGTGTATGAAACCAACACCGAAGACTACGACTCTACATATGTTCCGGAAACGGAGCACGAGGAGACCCCATATGATGGGGGTGACACGTACACGGACGATGATGATGGAGTGATGCCAAGTTCGCTCAAATGGGCGAATTGCTTGAGTGGTATCAAAAAGAGAAACTGAGGAGAGACCTTAGGCGCCAAGCAAGGTGTGGCTCGCGTGGTGGTTCGGGTCAAGGGAGCCGGGGAGCTTCAAGGGCCACTCCAGCAGCGTCACATGGTGGGCGTGAAGGAGGTTTGGTTGTGAGGATCTCGAAATACCTCAAGGAGGCTAGAGCCTTGGGGTGTAAGTCCTTCGACGGCACCGGTGACATTACCGTTGCCGCCGATTGGATAAAGAAGGTGAAGGATGCGGCAAAAGACATGCAAATTTCACCGGACGTAAAGTTGACTGTCGCTTCACGTCTGCTTGAGGGGATAGCTTCCACGTGGTGGGAGAGTGTTGAAGGAAAATACCATGGGGAGGTTTCATGGGTAAATTTTGAGCAAGAATTCTATGCTCAATACTACTCCGAGTATGAGGTGAATGTGAAACGGAGGGAGTATACTAACCTGAAACAGAAAGATGGTGGCACGGTTAAACAGTTGGAACAAGACTTTAGAACCTTGGCTAGGTTCTTGCCAGAGTACGCGGTTGATGAGAACCGCATGACGGAGCACTTTTGGGATGCCTTACTCTTGGACATCCGTGATCGGGCTACGTACTCGCGCCACATGACCTTTAGCGAGGTGGTGGAGCAGGGCCTTCTCGGGGAGGCTCAATGGAATGAAAGAAAGGAAAGAGACGCCGAAGAGGCGAAAAAGAGGAAATGGCATGGTTCGGGGCTGCCCGAGCAAGCACGGAAAGATAAACACGGTGGGAGTGGTGGTTCGTTCAAGACACCGGCACCACCGGCAAAGAAGAACAGGGATGCTCGGTGGCATGCATCCTCCTCCCAAAAGACGGGGCCTCCAAAGTGTGCCAATTGTTCGAAAAATCATTTTGGGAAGTGCAATGCACCCCCGAGGTGTTATCAATGTGGGAACACGGGCCACATGAAGGCCAATTGCCCACAACTAGGAGGAGGAGGAGCTCCGGGATCCGGAGGAGGAACCACGACGGGAAGAAACCGTGCGGGCCAGTCACACGGCGGTACGGGAAGAGGCGGCGCGTCCACAAGTCATGCCGCGTCCGTAAATCAAGGCGGGACCCAAGCACGAGTGTACGCAATGACCGAGGCGGATGCGCGAGCAAACCCGGACTCCGTTGCAGGTAATACACTTATTTCCATGTATCTCTAGGCTTATTTTGATCATATACACCGTTGGGGGTTGATTTCGCGCCACCCCAGGATCAAACGGAGCGAAATTGGGCGAAATTGGGCAAAATCGGGCTGATTTCTGCCAACGCACTACAGGCTGGGCTGCACGCACGGCCGTGCGTTGCCCGTGCGTACCTCCGTGCGTTGGTGGCAGTAGCACCCCGGAGGAAATCGCTGCACGCCCGGTCGTGCGTTGCCCGTGCGTCCCTCCGTGCGTTGGTGGCAGTAGCACCCCGGAGGAAATCGCTGCACGCCCGGCCGTGCGTTGCCCGTGCGTCCCTCCGTGCGTTGGGGGCAGTAGCCTCCATTGGGAAAGCAAGGTACGCACGACCGTGCGTACCCCCTACGCACGCCGTGCGTGGACCCCTGGCACCCGAAACTTGATTTTTTCGCCCCGTTCTTCTACGTTTGGACCCCCGTTTGATTTCAAACATTAGTATGAACCTAATAACCTCCCAAAGATGTGTAAAAACATTAGAAAAGGTATCTTACATGGTGTATAAATGTAGGAACATTAAAGATCAATGGTAGGTGTGCGAGGATCCTCATCGATACCGGGGCACAACGCTCATTTGTGAGTGAGGCGTTCGCCGAGGGCCTTGACGTGCCGTTGACACCTATGACGCAAACGTTGCTAGTCTCCACACCGTTAGGAGACGACGTGGAGAGAAATCATTTCTATCCGTCGTGTGAGGTAGAAGTGACGGGTCAACATTTGACTTGTGATTTCGTACCTCTAAGCATGTTGGAGTTCGATGCAATCCTAGGAATGGATTGGCTCGAGAAACACCATGCTCGAGTGGATTGCTACACCAAGGTGTTGGAGCTCGAGGATGATCAAGGGAACACGCTATGTTTTGAAGGAGATCGGGGGAAGTCCCATGCATGTATCATATCCGTGATGAGAGCACGTAAGATGATGAGGAAGGGATGCCACGCATACCTTGCCTACGTGGTGGACGATACCAAGAAGGAAGTCGACATCAAAGATGTACGGGTCGTATGCAAATACCCGGATGTCTTTCCCAAAGACCTACCGGGGCTTCCACCCGATAGAGAGATAGAGTTTGTAATTGAAGTGGAGCCGGGAACCAAACCCATTTCGATTCCTCCTAATCGAATGGCGCCGGCCGAACTCCAAGAGTTGAAGGTCCAACTACAAGAACTATTGGACAACGGGTTCATCAGACCCAGTCATTCACCGTGGGGAGCACCCGTACTCTTCGTAAAGAAGAAAGATGGTACACTAAGAATGTGTATCGACTACCGACAGTTGAACAAGGTCACCATCAAGAACAGGTATCCCTTACCGAGGATTGATGACTTGTTCGATCAACTTCGAGGGGCAATAGTATTCTCGAAGATTGATTTGAGGTCGGGGTATCATCAGTTGAAGATCAAGGAAAGTGACATACCTAAAAGTGCGTTCCGCACTAGGTACGGTCACTACGAGTTTCTTGTGATGTCATTTGGTTTAACCAACGCACCGGCGGCATTCATGGACTTGATGAACCGTGTGTTTAGTGAATACTTAGATCAATTTGTGATAGTATTCATTGACGACATCTTGATATACTCCAAGAGCGAGGAAGAGCACGAACACCATTTGAGGCTTGTACTTGATCGGCTAAGGGAAAAGCAACTCTTCGCCAAGTTCTCCAAATGCGAATTTTGGCTCAAAGAGATTGGTTTCCTCGGTCATGTCATATCCGGTTCGGGTGTTGCTGTGGATAACGCCAAGATAAAAGCGATCATGGATTGGGAGAGACCCAGGAATGCGAAGGAGATACGTAGTTTCCTCGGCTTAGCGGGATACTATCGTAAATTTGTTGAAAAATTCTCTGTATTGGCGTCTCCATTAACGAAGCTCACAAAGAAGGGGGCCAAGTTCATATGGGACGACAAGTGTGAGAAGGGGTTCCTTGAATTGAAGAAACGACTTACCGAAGCACCAGTCCTTGCCCTACCCATACAGGGGATAGGGTATGACATCTACAGTGATGCTAGCATCCAAGGGCTTGGATGTGTACTAATGCAAAACGGTAAGGTGATTGCCTATGCTTCTAGGCAATTGAGGAAACACGAAGTGAACTACCCTACTCACGATCTAGAGTTGGGGGCGGTAGTGTTTGCATTGAAGATTTGGAGGCATTATCTCTACGGGGAGACGTGTCACATTTATACTGATCATAAGAGCTTGAAGTATGTATTCACTCAGAAAGAGTTGAATATGAGGCAGAGGAGATGGATGGAGTTGATCAAGGACTATGACTTGATCATCGACTATCATCCCGGAAAGGCCAATGTAGTGGCCGACGCACTGAGCAGGAAGAATACGTCAGGGGTGTTACTTACTTGTCTACGAGTATTGAGGGCACACGTGGAGGTGTCCACGACCGGGGCGCTCATTGCTAGGTTCGAGGTGAGGCCTACATTGCTGGGTGAGATCACTAGATGTCAGGCCATTGATGAGGAATGTCAGAAGATCCGCGAACGGATCCTTGAGGGACCCGTTGAGAATTTTCGGGTACGCGATGACGGTCTTTTATTATTTAAGGGTCGTGTTTGCATACCAAAGAATGAGGAGCTCCAGAAGTCTATACTTGAGGAGGCTCATTCTTCGGCTTATGCTATGCATCCAGGAGGTACAAAAATGTACCGAGATTTGAAGGAAAGTTACTGGTGGTCGGGTATGAAGAGAGACATCGCAGAGTATGTGAGCCGATGCCTTACTTGTCAGCAAGTTAAGGCAGAACACCAGCACCCGGCAGGACTTTTACAGCCACTCACCATCCCAGAGTGGAAGTGGGAGCACGTGACCATGGACTTCGTGGTGGGGCTACCACGAACGGTGAACAACTATGATGCAGTTTGGGTAGTAGTTGATAGGCTCACCAAGAGTGCACACTTTCTGCCTATCAACATTACTTATCCTCTTGAAAGATTGGCCAAGCTATACACGGAGGAGATTGTGAGATTACATGGAGTCCCAATATCCATTGTCTCGGATAGGGATCCGCGATTCACATCCCGATTTTGGCCAAAGTTTCAAGCATCTTTGGGGACTAAACTGAAGTTTAGCACAGCTTTTCACCCACAGACGGATGGACAGTCCGAGCGGGTGATACAGATTTTGGAAGATATGCTTAGGGCATGTGCTTTGGAGTTCCAAGGAAGTTGGGACAAGCATCTGGCCCTAGTGGAATTTGCCTATAACAACAGTTATCAGGCAAGTATCGGCATGCCTCC